TTTTGTGAGGACAGAAGTTTTCAACTTGTCTAGATAAATACTGGACTACTGCATTATATTGTAAGAGTATGTTAGTTTTGAAAGAAACTGCAAACTATCCCACAAAGCAACTGTATCATTTTGCATTCACATCAGAAGGAAGTGGAAAGTTCTTGGTGAACTGTATTCTCACCAGCTTCTCATGGTATTAGTGTTTCGTTTTAAGCCATACTAAGAGGTATGTATTGGTATATCTTTATCCTAACTTACAATTCCCAAACAGTATATGATGTTGAACACTTTTCATTGCCTCTTTGCCATCTATATATCTTCTTTGATACAATGTACATTTAAATCTTTTGCTCATTTTTAAGGTTGGATTTTGTTTGCTTATTGTTTAATTTTAAAGGCTTCTATGTATTTTTGATAGTCCTTTATCAGATATGTCTTAGCAACAATTTTCTCTCAGTGTTTGGCTGAATATTTTTTTCTCTTAAAGAATGCTTTTGCAAAGCAGAAGCTTTTAATTTTAAACAAGTTCAACTTCTGTATTTTTTCTTTCATGGACTGTGTTTTTGATATTGTATCCAAAATGTCATCACCAAAATCAATGTCACTTAGATTTTCTTCTGTTATCATCTAGTACGATTTATGGTTTTGCATTTCACTTTTAGGTTGACATCCATTTTGAGTTAGTTTTTGTGAAAAGTATAAGGTCTATGTCTAGATGTTTTTCAGTTTTTCATGTGTATGTTCAGTTTTTTCAGAAACCTCACCATTTTTTAAAAATATTGGCTAAGTGTGGTGACTCACATCATATTTTGGTAGGCTGAGGTGGGAGAATCACTTGAGCCTAGCAGTTTGAGACTAGCCTGGGCAACATAAGTCTAATATACGTCACTACAAAAAATAAAATAATTTTAAAAGATTAGCTGGTCTTGGTGGTGAATGCCTGTAGTCTCAGATACTTAAGTAGGCTAAGGTGGGGGGATTCCGTGAGCCCGGGAGGTCACACCTGCAGTGAGTTGTGATCATGCCACAGCACTGCAACTTTGATGACAGAGCAAGACACTGTCTCACTAATAATAATAATCATAATATCTACCTTCATTGAATTCCCATTGACCCTTTTGCAAAGATCGATTGATGGTAATTGCATAGGTCAATTTCTGGGTTCTCTATTCTGTTCCATTGATCTATTTGCCTTTTAAAAAAACTAATACTATACTGTCTTGATGTCAGATGGTGTCAGTCTTCTGACTTTTTCCTCCTTCAATGTTATTAACTATGCTTAGTCTTTTACCTTCCTAAATAAACTTTAGAATAAGTTCATCTATATCCACAAAATAACTTGTTGGAATTTTGATTGAAATTGCTTTGACTTTATAGATGAATTTGGAAGAAAGAGATTATTGACACTATAAAGTCTTCCTGTGCATGTACATGGAATGTTCTTCCATTTATCAAATCTTTTAAATTCATTTCATTAGATTATTGAACTTTTTTTCATATGAATTTTATATATATTTTGTTAGGTTGCCAATATATTTTTATGTAAGAATGAAAAGACAAAGCACATTTACACTGCAGTAATTATAACTGCTAACTGCTAATATAAAGACAGTACAATGGTATGTGCCAGCAAGCCTAGATACATGTTAAAACTACTTATAAGAATTTAGAATAGGGGGCCTGGTGCGGTGGCTCAAGCCTGTAATCCCAGCACTTTGGGAGGCCGAGGCGGGTGGATCACGAGGTCAAGAGATCGAGACCATCCTGGTCAACATGGTGAAACCCCGTCTCTACTAAAAATACAAAAAAAATTAGCTGGGCATGGTGGCACGTGCCTGTAGTCCCAGCTACTCCGGAGGCTGAGGCAGGAGAATTGCTTGAACCCGGGAAGCGTAGGTTGCAGTGAGCTGAGGTCGCGCCACTGCACTCCAGCCTGGCTCCTTGTGTTGGAGTGAGACTCTGTCTTAAAAAAAAAAAAAAAAAATGAATTTAGGATAAATTGATAAACACAGAATTTTAAATATATAAAGAAACCTTGCTTTTATTAAATATGATTTTTTTTCATTTGTTTTGTCTCCCAGGTAATAAGCATAGTATGGACAAATAGTTTTATAATCTGCACACTCCTCCTACCCTCCACCCTCAAGTAGGCCCCAGTGACTGCTGTTCCCTTCTCTGTGTCCATTTGTACTGAATTTTTAGCTCCCACTTATAAGCGAGAACATGCAGTAAAAAATTGTATTGTTAAAGATGGAAAATGGTGTGGAAGGATTTGTATCCCAAACTCTGTAACATAAAATCTGTAAATTAAAATTTTAAATTAAATGTTTTAGTTAAAGACAAAGATATAGACAACAACAAAATACAGTCTTCCCTAATGCACATGAAACATTCTCCAGGGTAGACTGTATGTAATGACAAGTTTCAATCAATTTTTAAAAGACATATATGATTAAATTATCTTCTCTAACCACAACAAAATAAAGTTATACATTAATAGCAGAAGGAAAACTGGAAAATTCAAAAATCTGTGAAAACGAAACCACACTTTTTTCTTTGAGACAGAATCTTGCTCTGTCACCCAGGCTAGAGTGTAGTGGAGCGATCTTGGCCCACTGCAACCTCAGCCTCCCAGGTTCAAGCAATTCTCCTGCCTTAGCCTCCCGAGTACCTGGGATTACAGGCACACACCACCACTCCTGGCTAATTTTTGGGTTTTTTAGTAGAGACGGGGTTTCACCATGTTGGCCAGGCTTGTCTCGAACTCCTGACCTCATGATCCACTTGCTGTGGCCTCTCAAAGTGCTGGGTTTACAGGTGTGAGCCACCATACCTAGCTAACAACAGACACTTAAACTATCAGTGCATCGAAGGAGAAATCACAATGAAAAATAGAAAATACTTGCAGGTTAATGAAAATGAAAGCACAATATATTAAAACTTGCAGGACACAGTACAAGCAGTATTAAAGAGTAATTTATAATGATACGTGCTTAAATTTAAAAAAAAAAGAGAGAGAGAGAGAGAAAGATCCCAAACCTAGCAGAATAAAAAAATAACAAAGGTAAGAGCAGCAGTAAATAAAAGAGATAATAGAAAAATGATGGGAAAATTTATTAAAACCAACGTTCATTCTTTGAAAGATCAAAAATAATTGACAAACATTTGGTTATATTGATTACAAAAAATTAAGCACTAAAGACTTTGATTTTTAAATCAAAAATGAAACTAAGGGCATTATCACTGAGTCTATGGATATGTAAAAAAAAGATTTTGAGACATTACTGAGAAGAATTACACACCAAGAAACAAAATAAACTAGATAAAATTGACAAATCCCTAGAAATACAAAACTTACCAAGACCGAATAACAAAGAAATAGAAATTCTTAATAGACTCATAACTAGTTAGAAGACTAAATCAGTTATCAAGATTATTCTGTCAGTAAAAGGCCCTGGACCTAATAGCTGCAATGCTAAATCCTATCAAAGATTTAAAGAACTAATATCATTCTCAAAGTTTTTTTAAAATTAAAGAGAAGGGAGTACTTCCTAACTCAATCTATATAACCAGCATTATGCTATAAGGATACAAATGCCGAACAAGGATATTATAAAAATAGAAAACCACAGAACAATTTCCTTTATGAACATCAATGTAAAACCCTCAGCAAAATATTAGTAAACAGAGTTCAATGCATCTTAAAATGATTCTACACCATGGTCAATTGAGATTGATTCCTGGAATGCAAGTATGATGCAACACATGGAAATTGATTGGTGTAATACATCACATTTAACAGAGTGAAAGGAAAAAAAAAAAAAACAAAAACATGATCAACTCAACACAGAAAGAGCATTTGATAATACTGAACACTCTTTTGTGACAGAAACATTCAACAAGCTGACAGTAGAAGGAAACTGCCTCAACATAATCAAAGCCATATATAAAAAACCCACCATGAACATCATACTCAATGATAAAAGACAGGAAACATTTTCTCTCAGATCAGCAATAAGGTAAAGATGCTTATTTTCACCACTTATATTCAACACAGTACTGGATGTCCTAGCTGGAACAATTAAGCAAGAAAAAGAAATAAAAAGTATATAGATGGAAAATGAGTAATTAAAATTACCTGCATTCACAGATGATATAATCTTGTCTGTGGAAAACTCTAAAGATTACACACACACACACACACACACACACACACACACACAATGAGGGAGGTGAAGAGAAACTGTTAGAACTGATGACTGAATTCAGCAAAGTAGCAAGAAACAGTCACATGCAAAAATCAGGTGCATTTCTGCACACTAGTAATGAACAGTCTGCAAAGCAATTAAGGAAACAATTCCATTTTCATAACATCAAATAGAACAAAATCCGTTGAAATTAGCTTAACCTTGGAAATAAAGGTCTTGTACAATGAAAACTACTAAACACTGCCAACAGAAATTAAAGAAGAGATAAATAAATGAAAACACGTCTTATTTTCATGGTTTGGAAGACTTAACATTGTTAAAAGGTCAATATTGCCCAAAGCATTAAACAGATTCAATGCAATCCCTATCAAAATCCCAATGATGATTGTCAAAGGTTTAGAAAACTCTATCATAATATTTATATGAAACTACAGGAGACCCTGAATAGCCAAACAAGTATTGAGGAAGTAAGAAAACTTAAAGACTTACATTTCCTGATTCCAAAACGTATTATAAATCTAAAGTAATGAAAACAGTGTAGGACCAGTACAAAGACAGACATACAGACTAACAGAATGGGCTAGAGAACCAAGAAATATGTGATTAAATAATTTTCAACAAGAATGCCAAGACCGTTCAGCAAAGAAAGGTCAGTATTTTCAACAAATTGTGCAGGAAAACTGCATATGCACAACCCAGAAAATGAAGTTGAACATTTACCTAACCAACCATATACAAAAATTAAGTCAAAATGGATAAGAGGTCTAAACATATGAGCTAAACTATGAAAGTCTTAGAACAGGGTGTCCAATCTTTTCGGTTCCCTGGACCACATTGGAAGAAAAAGTATTGCCTTCAGCCACACATAAAATACACTAACACTAGCAATAGCTTATGAGCAAAAAACAAAACTGCAAAAAAATCTCACAATGTTTTTAGAAAGTTTACGAGTTTATGTTGGGTCACATTCAAAGCCATCCTGGGCTGCACGCGGTCCTTAGGCCACAGGATGGACAAGCTTGTCACAGAAGAAAACGCCGGGAGAAGGCTTCACTACATTGGATTTGGCAATGATTTGTTGGATACGGCACTCAGGGTACAGGAACAAAAGAAAAAGTATTTGATTTCATGAAAATAAAAAAGCTCCGTGCATTATAGGACATTATCATCAGGATAAAAATGCAACCTTTGAAATAGCAAAATGTATTTTCAAATCATGTGTCTGACAAGGGATTAATATTTAGGATATAGAAAGGACTCCTAAAATTCAACGACAGCAACAACCACAAAAAACCTAATTAAACAACTGGCAAATTGCTGAATAGACATTTCTTCACAAAAGGTATATAAATGGCCAATAAGCATATGAAAAGATTCGACATCACTAATTATTAGGGAAATGCAAATCAAAACCACAATGAGATATCGTCTCATACCTAGTAGTATGGCTACTATCAAAAAACAGAAAATGATAAATGTTGGTGAACATGTAAGAAATGGGAAACCCCGTGCACCATCAATGAGAATGTAAAATGTTATAGCCACTGTGGAAAACATTATGGCCATTAATCAAAAAACTGAAAATTTAATTGCTATATGATCCAGCAACTTCAATTGTGGGTGTATACTCTGTAGTAGTCTGTTTTCATGCTTCTGTGAAGAACTGCCCAAGACTGGGCCATTTATAAAGGAAAGAGGTTTAATTGACTTCTACTTCCGCTTGCTGGGGAGGCCTCAGGAAACTTACAATCATGGCAGAAGGCAAAGGGGAAGCGGGCACCTTCGTTGCAGTACGGCAGGGCAAAGTGTGTGCCCTCAGGGGAAATGCCAAATGCCTGTGAAACCATCAGATTCCTTGAGACTCACTCACTATCACATCACAAGAACAGCTTAAAGGAAACCAAGCCCATGATCCGATTACTTCCACCTGGTCCCACCTTTGACAGGGGATTTTGGAGATTACAATTCAAGATGAGATTTAGGGTGGGGACACAGCCAAGCTGTATCATCCTCCAAAGAGCCTTAAGCAAGGTCTCCAAAAGATATTTGCATACCAGTGTTCATAGTAAGATTATTCACAATAGCTAAAGCATGGGAGCCACCCAAGTGTTCATGACAGATAAGCAAAATGTGTTGTACGCATACAATGGAATGCTATTCATCCTTTAAAATGAAGGGATTTAACATACCCTATAAAAAGCTTGTTTAACCTGTGGCCCAGGATGGCTTTGAGTGGGGCCCACCACAAATTCGTAAACTTTTTTAAAACATTATGAGATTTTGTGTGTGTGTGATTTTTTTTTCCTTTTTAGCTATTGATAATGTGTTTTATGTGAGGCCCAAGAAAATTCTTCTTCCAATGTGGCCCAGGGAAGCCAAAACACTGGACACCCCTGTCCTATAACATGGATGACCTTTGAGGACATTACATTAAGTGAAATACGTCAGTTACAAAAGAACAAATACGGAATGCTTCTATTTATGAGATAGAGTAGCTAAAGTCATAGAGACAGAAAGTAGAATGGGGACTGTCAGGGACTTGGGGGAGGGCAAATGGGGGCTTATTGCCTAATGCCTTCAGAGTTTCATCTGTGCGAAATGAAAAGAGCTCTGGAGGTGGATGTATGTTGGTTGCACAACAGTGTGAATGAACTCAGTATCATTGAACTGTATACTTTAAAATGGTTAAGGTTGTAAATGTTATATTGTGTTTATTTTATCACAATAAAAAATAGAGGCCGGGCGTGGTGGCTCACGCCTGTAATCTCAGCACTGTGGGAGGCAGAGGCGGGTGGATCACGAGGTCAAGAGATCGAGACCATCCTGGTCAACACGGTGAAACCCCGTCTCTACTAAAAATACAAAAATTAGCTGGGCATGGTGGTGCATGCCTGTAGTCCCAGCTACTCAGGAGGTTGAGGCAGGAGAATTGCTTGAACCCAGGAGGCGGATGTTGCGGTGAGCCAAGATAGCGTCATTGCACCTCAGCCTGGATAACAAGAGTGAAACTCCGTCTCAAAAAAAAAAAAAAAAAAAAGGAAAAAGAAAAATACCAAAGCTATGGTATTAATATAAAACTTGCACATAAATATCTATCTATTTGATTTTGGGGATCGAATAAATATTACTGATAATACAACAAAGTAAAATGAGAAAAAATATTGATATATTAACTGTGAAAAATATTTTATTCTGCATATCAAAGTGTACATATTCTTTGTTTAAAAAGAGATTTATAAATAAGCAAGAACACAAATAATTAGCAAAGAAAATTCACTGGTAATTCATAGAAAATAAAAAGATTATTAATTGAACAAACAGAAAATGCTAGATATATAAATTATCTGGGCAATAACATAAATACAAATTATAATTAAGTATTGCTATTTTAGCCGAAAACAGTAATTTGGGAACCAATGAAAATATGCAAGGTTATTAAAGACTTAGACAATCTGGGACTAATTGCTATGAATTAGATTTACCAAACCTTTATTAATGCAGTTGCATTTTATGTCAAAAGTCTTTAAATTTTGCTTGCCCTTGACCATTCAATTATACTCCAAAGATTATAAGCCAAATAAATATTTAAAGATTTGTTTGCCAATTACATGCAAAAATGTTCAGTGCAACCCTTTTACAACAGCAAATACTTGAAAACTCCTGAATATTGATTGATCAGGATTGAAAAACAAATCATGCTACTGCTTCGTAATATATCATCTACTCTTTTTTTTTCTGTTTAACTTGAGAGAGAGTTTCTCTCTTGTTACCCAGGCTGGAGTGCAATGGCGCGATCTCGGCTCACTGCAACCTCCGCCTCCCGGGTTCAGGCAATTCTCCTGCCTCAGCCTCCTGAGTAGCTGGGATTACAGGCACGCGCCACCATGCCCAGCTAATTTTTTGTATTTTTAGTAGAGACGGGGTTTCACCATGTTGACCAGGATGGTCTCGATCTCTTGACCTCGTGATCCACCCGCCTCGGCCTCCCAAAGTGCTGGGATTACAGGCATATATATCATCTACTGTTTACAGATAATGTTTCTAATCATAGTGTTTGTATGGCCTGAAATTCAGAACTAAGCAAAAAATGCTATTTAGAAGCAGTATTTGAGTAGGTCCCATTTTAAAAGTGCTATATAGATGCAAACAGAGTATGCAGGCATTTGTTGATATTAGGATTCTCTAAATATTGAGATTGTGTTATTCATCTTTCCTGCTTTTGCTCACCTTTACCTTGACATAATATTTATCATTACAAAATTGTCATTTCATAATAAGAAAATTTTTATAATGGAAAATAAATTAAACTAGGGTAGATTTCACTTCCCAAAATATCATATGATATTTAACTATATTACGGTTGCTTTATTTGCTGCTGGTATTAGTCTTAGAAGCAGAGCTCTTTTACAGTGTTATTCTAATTGTTGTATTTATGTTAACTAATGTTTGAAGATACAATTGTTTTTAATATATTGTTTCTCGAAATGATTTCTTTGGAAATAATTCTCAAAGTGGAAGGCAATCTCAACCCTCTTTTTTCTTTTTTGTGAGACGGAGTCTCACTCTGTTGCCCAGGCTGGAGTGCAGTGGTATGATATTGGCTCACTGCAACCTCTGCCTCCTGGGTTCAAGCAGTTGTCCTGCCTCAGCCTCCTGAGTAGCTGGGACTACAGGTGCCTGCCCCAATGCCCGGCTAATTTTTTGTACTTCTAGTAGAGATGGAGGTTTCACCGTGTTAGCCAGGATGGTCTCTATCTCCTGACCTCAGGATCCGCCCGCCTTGACCTCCCAAAGTGCTGAGATTACAGGAGTGACCCACAGTACCTGGTCTCAACATTCACATGAAGGTATCAAGATTCATTTTAAATTTTACAGAATTTAATGCAAGTGTCTGTATTCTGACCAGACTCATCATGTTTGTCTCTCACTGTTTTAATCCAGATACTTGCTTGGCAGCTGTCTCATAATTCATTAGATTGCTTCAGGTGAAGGTAAAGGAAAGCCTCAAAATTTAATATTGATGCTTACTTAGCTCGTACTAATGTGTTTTAAACCAGTGTGAAATAAAAGGATCTGGATATCTTATAAACGCTATTTTTATATTCAATATTATAAATGTAATTGGAAACATAAGGTTATATAGTGTAATATAAAAAATGAAACAGAGTCAGAAAATATTTTCAAGAGTTTAATGTTACCTAAACTTTCTTCTGTGAAACACTAATTTTGAGGAAGGCTAACACGTTGTATTGGAGATCGAAGAGACACGTGTTTTGGTTATATAGTCTCTGAAAACAAAATACTCAAAATCTCAGTGGCTAAAACAGCAAGCATTTTATGGTGTTTCTTTATTTCATGGATCAGGCATTTTGACCAGGTTCCGTAGGCTGATTCCTTTGTTCCAAGTGGTGTCAACTGAAGTCACTCACGGGTATCAATGAGAGAACAATGATGAATTGCTTCAGTCACGCGCTTAGCACCTTCGCTTGAGAGCTTGAAGGTTGGGTTCAATAGGTACCGTCCCTCAGAACACCTACATGTGGCTTCTCTAGCAGGGAGCCTCAACTTCTGTATCTCAGGGATCCCAGGAAGAGGATTCTATGAGTGGAAGTTGTAAGCCCTTCCTATGAGAGAGCTTCAGATTCTGTTCTTTTGTGATGTACCATTAATCAAAAAGTCACCAAGTTTAACTCAGACTCAAAGAGAGAGGAATTCTATTCCATCTCTTAGTGAGAGAAGCAGCAAGGAATTTGTGGCCATCTTTAATCTATTACACAGATTTCTAGATTCAAAAATGTTTTGACCAAAGGTAATCGTGACTTTCATGATTGCAGGTTTGTTAGACACATTAATTCATGTGTAAGACATTGGAGTTAAGCAGCCTTTGGGGTATGCAACTTACCTAGACTTCTTTGAGAAAAATATATTTTCCTGAAAATCTTTTCTGGAATGTCTTGTGCTTTCTTAAGGGTACATTTCTAAGTACTGTTAGTCACTGATGCTCGTTCTTTACGCAGATGTTCATTTAGTTTCTATTACCAGGTTATTTGTTCATTAATTTATAATCACTTACAAATGTAATAAATTAGTTTTTGTTTTAAGCATTGGATTTTAAACAGCAAGTTTAAATATAATTTACATATTGTAAATTTACCCATTTAAAGTGTCATTCACCCATTTAAACCAATTTGATGGATTTTTTTTTTTTTTTTTTTTTTTTGAGACAGAGTTTCACTCATGTTACCCAGGCTGGAGTGCAATGGTGCGATCTCGGCTCACCGCAACCTCCGCCTCCTGGGTTCAGGCAATTCTCCTGTCTCAGCCTCCTGAGTAGCTGGGATTACAGGCACGCGCCACCATGCCCAGCTAATTTTTTGTAGTTTTAGTAGAGATGGGGTTTCACCATGTTGACCAGGATGGTCTCGATTTCTTGACCTCGTGATCCACCCGCCTCGGCCTGATGGATTTTAATATATTCACAAATATTTACAACCGTGACCACAATTTTAGAATAGTTTGTCATCTTAAAAAAAACACACTGTACTCTTTAGCCATCACACTCCTGTCACCCCTCCTCCTCAACCCTGAAAAACTAATAATCTATGTTCTGTCTCAATGAATTTCCTTGTTCTGGATATTTCCTATGAGTTGATTCATATACCATATGGCTTCTCTCATTAAGCATAATGTTCTCAAGGTTTGTCCATGTGGTTGCATATATCAGTATTTCATTCATGTCAATGAGCAAATAATAATGTATTGTATAAATATAGCACATTTTTCATTCATTTTTTCACTGATGGAAAATTGCATTGTTTCCAGTTTTCAGTCATTATAAATAATGCAGCTATAAGCAACCATATATTCCAGGGGTATCCAATCTTTTTGTTTCCCTGGGCTACACTGGAAGAAGAGGAATTGTCTTGGGCCACACATAACATACATTAACAATAGCTGATGAGCTAAAAACAAAGACTGCACAAAAATATCATGTTTTAAGAAAGTCTACAAATTTCTGTTGGGCTACATTCAAAGCCATCCTGGGCCATGTGTAACCCTTGGGCTGAGGGTTGGCAAGCTTGATATAGACGTTTTTGAGTGAATGTGTGCTATCATTTCTCTTGGGTATGTACCTAAGGGTGCATTTGCTGGTTCACATGGTGGCCATATATTGAATTAAGAAACTGCCAGACTATTTTTCTAAGTGGTTGCACCATTTTACATACCAATCAACAGTATATGAGTATCCTAATTTCTCTAAATTTTCACCAAAACTTGTTATCTGACATTTTGATTCTAGCCATCTTAATGAGTATCAAGTGGTATTTTATTATTGTTTATATTTGTATTTTTATAACTCATGATATCAAACATTATTTAATTGCATATCTTCATTTGTATATTTTCTTGGAAAAAATCTATTTAGCTATTTGTCTATTTCTTGAATTGGGTAACCTTTTATTATTAAACTGTAATAATTCTTCATATATTCCAGATGCAACACCCTTATAAGATATATAATTTGTAAATATTTTCTACTATTTAGTGAGTTGTCTTCTCACTTTCTTGATGTCCTTTGAGACACTAAATTTTTAATTTTGATGAAGTCCAATTTACCTATTTTATTCTTACTACTGATGATTTTGGTGTCATGTCTAAGAATCCTTTATCAAATCCAAAGTCATAAAGATTTATGTACCTTTTCTTCTAAAAGCTTCGTATTTTTAGCTCCCACATTTAGGCCTTTAACACAGTTTTACTTAATTTTGTATATGCTGTGATACAAGGGCCCAGATTTATTATTTTGTCTGCTGTCTGTTCAACTGAACCAGTACCACTTATTGAAAGGGCTCCTCCTGCCTTTGCTGAATGGTTTTGGCAGCCTGTAGAAAATCAGTTGACCACGGATGATTGAGTTTACATCTAGACTTTCCATTCTATTCCATTTATCTAAATGTCTTCTTGTACCAGGACCACACTGTCTTGATTACCGTTGCTTTGCAGTAAGATTTGAGATTAGGAACTGTGAGAACTCTTATTTTGTTCTTCATTTTTAGAATTGTTTTGGCTGTTCTGAGTTCCTTCAATTCCATGTGAATCATGGACTCAGCTTGTCAATTTTTACAAACAAGTCAGCTAGGATTCTGATAGGGTCTGTTTAATTTGAAGATCATTTGAGGGAGAATTGCACTGAAGCTCTCCCTGCTCTGTTCAAATGAAACTGCTTTCTTTGTGAGTAATTCATGGCTGGCTTCTCCTCCTGGGTGACATCTCTGAGCCGGAGCTCTGGAGCTGGGGATTCTCTCTGAGTGCCACCTTGCTCTGGGAGCTCAGCACTTGGCGAAGAAGGTAGGAGGGATATCAAGCAGCATAAGGCTATTTCAACTTGCATAAAACTGCTACTCCCTTATGAGACCAGAAAGGGCTGTCAGGGCCCCAGCGTTCTCAGCAGTGTGGACTGGGCAGAAGAATGGTATCCTCCTCTCCATGCAGTTGCCCAGGGCTTGCCTCAATAACTAAGGGTAAGATGTGAAACACCGAAATTCTGCTATTTCAGGGAGAAAAGGTCTGAAAGTGGGAGGTGGTACAGGAAGCCCTGGGCGCTTAGCTGCCACAATCCGGACTGGAGTCTCCCATTCAGGAACTGGGAGGGGTAAGGAAAGGAGTATTTTTGTTCAAATATCACCAATTTTATCTTTCTTACCAAATTTTATAGATTTTATTGAGTAAATATTTTTTTTTATTTGCTGTCTGTTCTTAGGATTGTTTCAAGATGCTTTAAATTGTTTTTTCCCTCCACTCCCTGTCCTCCTCTCCTCCCTCCCTCCCTCCCTTCCTTCCATCCTTCCTTCCTTCCTTCCATCCTTCCTTCTTTTCTTTCTTCTCTTTTTCTCTTTTCACCAGATTCACTGGGGAGTGGGTCAGCAAAGCTGCTCATACCGTAATGCCGGAAGACAATCCGAGAACCCGGGTGATTTCATTTTACAAGTGCACTGTCTACACTCCTGAAGATGAGAAGTCTTGAACATGGAAAAGACATTGAGGCAGTGGACTCGAAGGCCTTCTCGCCTGTGGGGAGTATAGACTCCGGGGTGGAACGGGAATGGACCCTCCCCACAGTCCCTGAACTGCCCAGCCGGGTGTGACCACATCCACTCCTAATAGAGTCAGTTCCAGTTTCCACCCAATGTGATTAGTTCGATTTTTTACTTGAACTTGTTTTTTTAAAAAATAGATGAACAGCCCATTAAATGGAAAACCACCTTTATTTATAGGGAAGGGATATAAATGCGTGACATGCACAGACATAGGTAATAAAGTTTCCAAATCTAAGTTTTATAAAGGAACTTTGCAGTAGTTCATGATCTTTATAACAAGATGCTTTTGAGTCAATCACAAATTACTTATCTTTCCATTTATTCATTTTCACCTGCTAAATACTCTCAGCTTCCCCACATTATTATGCATCATGATACCAAATTGTATGTATCATGAAGAAAAAGGAAAGCTCTCTAACGAATTCCTCAATGGATTTGATTACAAACTGTGATTTCTTAATATATTCTTTTCTGCAGAAACCCTTGTCTAGTTAAAAGTAACTGAGCCTTACATTATGTTCTTCTATTAATATGAACCCCCAAATAAGTTCTATCGTTTTACAGTGAAACTAGAGAAAAAATGAATCTGGCATCAAATACGTGGGAAAAACATTGAGCTTTTAAATGACACTACTTTTGTTTCAGAAAGTAGCCAAATATTTGAAGTCTAATATTAAACTACTTATGGAAAATCTTCAGGCAATCAGGAAATAAATACAGAAATTACATAAAAATTACTGGAGGTAAATAATATTTTTATTATACTTTTAAAATAGGCTATATTTGCTATACAAAACCCGACCATATAAAATGTTAAACTTTTACCTCTGGAACCAAAAAGATAGCAGTTTAACATGGTTGTTCATGCAATGATTTTATGCATTTATATAAAGTTTTACGTGAACAGTCTTAACCACAAAGGTATATAACAATTTAAAATATGTACTCAACCAATAAACTATTTTTCAGATTCAAAAGATCTAAAGCAATCTAGAGAATGAGAAAATATTTCCAAATCAAATACCCGATTAGAGATGAATATTCTGAATATATAGAGAATCCCTAAAACTCAACAACAAAAGACCCAACATCACTCAAAAAAAGGAAAAGAACTTAAATGGACATTTCACAGAAGATAATAGACAAGCACATAAAAGGGTGCTTAACATCACTAATTATTAGGGAAATAGAAATAAAAGCCACAATGAGATACCATTTCACACCCGTTAGGAGGGCTATTATCAAAACAAACGCATGAACAAACAAATAGAAAATACCTGTTGGCGAGAACTTGAAGAAATTGAACCCTTGTGCATTGCTAGCAGATATGCCAAATGCTACAGCTACTATAAAAAACAGTGCAATTGTTCCATAAAAAGTGAAATATGTGGTCCAGCAATTCCACTTTTGGGCGTATACCGAAACAAATGAAAGCAGGGGCTCAAAGACATATTGTACATCGTGTTCATAGCAGCATCATTCACAATAGCCAAAAACTAAATGCAGCTCAAGTGTCCATCAGTGGAGGAATAAATAAGCAAAATTACGTGTGTGTGTATATATATGTATATATACAGACATACATATATGTCTGTACACATATATCCATATGTGTGTATACATATATACATATATTTATATATACACAAATATACATATTTATATATACACAGACATATGCATATATAAAAATATATATGTATAGACACATATGGATATATGTCTGTACACATATATCCATATGTGTGTTTGCATATATAAATATATATATACACAGACATATATACACACACACAGATATATAAATATATTTATACACACACACACACACACGCATATACTTGAGGTAGAAGAATAGGGTCTAGAGGCAAGGAACTGGAACTTAAGGCCAATTCATGCTGAAACAGGGAAATCACCAAGGTCTGGATCCAGGGAATCTAAGCCAATTACTGCAAACTTCCTAAAGCTAATCCAAAAAGAATAACGTGTCTCCCCATGCTGAGTAACAAAGGATCAAACGCTACTCTTGCTACCGCCCTCCCTTGCCACCAAGTCTCAAAGGGAAAGAGAGAGTGCCTTGGGTTGGCTGCAGGCCGAGCAGGGACCGTCCTTCATCTGCACAGGGCACCAATTCATCCCAGCCTTAAATTAGCTGCAGACCAAATCCTTCATCCACATTAAGAGGTAGCTGATCATAACCTCAAAGGGAGTACTTACGACCCAGAAAACTTTGTAACTTGGCCCTTGAGCTGCTTGCAAGGGCCAACTCTCACCCTGTGGAGTGCTTTCTCACTTTAATAAATCCTGCTTTCGGTGGTTTGTTCCTGCATTTCATTCCTTTGCTACTTTTTTTGTGTGCATTTTGCTCAATTCTTTTTTCAAAACGCCAAGAACCTGGAAACTCACAGTCAATACCTAGCAACATATTTATACATATACGCATATATGTATATGTATATATGTGTGTATATATATATATTTTGCTTATGCATATATATGTATACATATATGTGTCTATATATACCTAATTTTGCTTATTGATTATAAGCAAAATTATAATTTAAAAATACATATATATATATAGTTAAAGGAAGGAAATTCTGATACATGTCATAGCATGGTCAAGACATGAACACATTATATTAAGTTGTATCAGTCAGGATTCTCTGAATCGACAGAGCTAATAAAATAGATGGACATGTATTTGAAGCGGGGTTACTAAGTATTAACTCACCTGATCACAAGGTCCCACAACAGGCCACCTGCAAGCTGAGGAGTAAGGAGAGCCAGTCTGAGTCTCAAAACTGAAAAACTTGGAGTCCAATGTTGGAGGGCAGTAAGCATCCAGCAAGGGAAAAAGATGTAG